GCAACACTGATGTAGCACTTATCAAAATGGATCATGGTGTTATTTTGGATCACTCAACCAATTTGAGTCAATTAAATAGCATTTGTTTGCCCGTCAAAGACAGTGTCAACGATGACAATGAATACGCGATTTTAAATGCTTATGAATACGACCCAAATGCTAATCCCGATGATCCAAATTTTAAACTAAAAACCGGCCTTGTTAAGATTTATAAATTGGGCAATGATGTGGCAGAGGACCAGGGTGGTTTGCTTATTATTGGGCAACAATTACGTGGATCAATTTGTGACGTAAGTAAATTTATAGCAAATATTGAAAATGCTTTTAACTAATAATTACAAAATATTTCAAAAATCAGTTTCATTTATAAAACTAATATCTATTGACATAAACAGGGCGTCCATTTCGGGGGTCCGCTATACCAGTCAGTGAACGGAGTGGCAGTACTTATTGGTATAGCAATCGGTGGCACTAATAACGGCACATGTATTCCAGACAACCATGAGCAATTCATGTATTTTATTAGAATATCAAATAAAATTGACTGGATTATTAGTACAATTAATAATAACACTAAATAATTTAATAATAATTATAAATAACACACAAATATTAATATATGCTAAACGTTTATTCCAAAAATGTAAATTTTAAGTATAAATCTCTCTCTCTCTCTCTCTCTCTCTCTCTCTCTCAATATTATTAATACTGTATACAACTATCATGTTTTTAAAATAGAATTTAAAATATAAATTTATATAAAAAATTAGAATATTCTTAAATTTTAATTTTTATAAAAATATTACATAAAACATTTAATTACGTTATACTCTATTTGAAAATATGTCAATTAATTTAATAATTATATTTGTTTAATAATAATTATTGTGTTGTATTTTATATATAAAACATCTGTGCAAAATAAGGCGAATAAAAATGACGGTTTTTAAGTGCAAATTCTATGTTTGTGCGCTAATTGTGGCCATAATTGGTGTCCAATATTTAAATGTTTTTGCTAAATCTCCAAAATCACCACATGCCAAGTCGGGTTCAAAGTATATATCATTATTCTTATCAAATATATTTATTACAGCATTAATATCATAGCTAAACTATTACACAATTTAAATTATTATTTTCAGTTTAATTTGACAAACAATCTCTAGTTTTAGCCAGTTTTATGATTTTATGACTAATTTTAGAAATTTAAATTTACGATATTGAAATGAATTTTTAAAAAGTACTAACATTATTAGCATTTAATTAAAAGTATTTGTTTCTTATAGTAATCAAAGCATTGATTTTAAAGTAAATTACTTTTTGTCACGAAAGCGGAGAACCCCCTGAAAGTTTGGGGCCACACGATATACCTCTATAGGAATACTTTGAAAAAATTTTATTTCACTTTTTTATCACATTTTGAGCTGTTATCACATTTAGTAACTTTATTAGTAACTATTATATTGTTTTGCTAATTTTATATGCTATAATTATCAATATACTGTTATTTAACGATGCTATGGTGTCAACCGCTATGGTATTCGCTTGCTATTCTTACCAGGGGTTTTTAAGGCAGTGCTTTTAGCACATTACGCCAAACTTCAGACTATTAATGGATTTTTACAAAATATTTGATGAATAAATATATTTAGTATGAAACAATTACATTAAAAATGGAAGTGGTGAACAATTATAAAATGCTTGTTTTATATATTAACCTAAAGCTAAACTATACACTGAATGAATAGATCTTTTCAATAAATTACGTAACTAAAATTATCAATAAAGAATTTAGAGCCGAATAATTTAACAAAATATTATAGGTAAAATATTTTAAGCTTCATTGTCAAACGCAACGTTAAATTTAACATAGGAGTCATATATAATAATCATTTAATTCTATAATTTTATGTAAAATAAATAACTTTATAAACAATTTTTATCACCTAAAAATCAATGCTTTATTTATAATATTAACCTCAAAATAGACATGCAACTAAATTTCCCTTTTCTTTCTTCCCTGCAGGGATTCCCTCTTCCCTTATAGGGAAAAAAGGGAAAGGGAATGGAAAATGAGTGAAGAGGGAAGGGAAGGGAATCCCTTATACACAAAGAGGGAATCCCTTATACAAAATTTCCCTCTTTTTCCCTAGTTTTTATAACATAATATGTATTATAAGAATTGAAATATGTAAAATATTGTTTTTTAAACAATATGACATATTGTAAATACAATGCATTGTATTTTAGTGAAAACACGCTTTAATATCATTATTTGCTGTGATTTTTAAGAGAAAAAGAGGGGGAAATAATTAAGAGAAAAAATAAGGGAAAAAGAGGGATTCCCTGTTGCCTGTAGAAGGAAGGGAAGGGATTCCCTCTTTGCATAGTTTAAGGGAAAAGGGAAGGGAAGGGAATTGAAAAATAGGAAAAGTAGCAAGTCTACCTCAAAACATTGACCGTGTATTAAAATTACTCGGATTATATAATGTTAATAAATCCTGAATGGATTTATTTTGAATGTATTTGAACAGAAAAAATAATTTTATTGTACACAATAAATATAAAATTGACTTAATTTGTGTAATAATATTGAGTTATCTCTTATTCGATGGCAAAGAGTTGATACAAATAGTCAAAAATCACGGATATTTTTATAAAGTTGTGTTTAAATAAATAAGTCACAAAACATCCGTTTAGGGCCTAAAATAATGTGTCGTGATAAAACAAAAATCATAGAATTATAATGCATCATGTAAGTAGCACTTTTTTACCCGTCACCGTCACCGTCACCGTCGCTCCGTCACCGTCACCGTCGATAAATTTTAGATGTATGTTTTATATATGGAGTCAATGTAGAATTCATCGCTGATTTCGAATCTGGAATCGAAAATATTTTATTTTGAATATATTTCGAGTTATTCGACTTAGAATATTTTTTATCGAAAATTTTAAAATGACGTAATTTATTAATATAATATATGATTTCGATGTAGAATCAGACGCTGATTCCGAATTTTATATGATAAATTTTCTATATTAAATACTTTTAAAGTTATTTAAATTTTAACATTTTAAAATTGAATAGTTCGAAAATTATACAGTTAATTTTGAAACCGATTTGAGAATATTAATCAGCGTTAAAATCCACTTCAAACTCATATATCATATTAATAAATTACGTCATTTAAAAATTTTTGAAAAAAATATTCTAAGTCGAATAACTCGAAATATATTTGAAATAAAATATTTTCGATTCCAGATTCGAACTCAGCGATGAATTCTACATTGACTCCATATATAAAACATACATGTAAAATTTATCGACGGTGACGCTGACGGTGACGGTGACGGGTAAAAAAGTGCTTCCCCATCATGTACATTGAATTGTTTCATTTTAGAAATAAGATACGAATTAACATAAGATACGAATCCAGTTCGGACGACGATTTGGAGGACGATTTTAATCTTATGGATGTCACAACTGACACGACTATCCTTGAAATTAAAAAACGTATTGCTAAAAATAATGATATACCAGTCAATGAACAACGATTGACATTTAAGGGAAAACACCTTGAAGATAACAAAACTATCGGCTCTTATACGGTTCCTAACAATTCGAATATTGATTTGACAAGAAAAGCTAAAACCAATCCGATGTATATATAACATTCACTAACTAAAAATATTCGTTCTAAATTTGGTCAAATTGATATATGTTATTTATAAACAAAGCATTGCACTTCACTATCCCACTTATTTAGGCGGTTAATAGCACGTCCCACAGACTCGGGATGTGAACCGATGTATTGGGGGTCAGTTTACCGAAAGTTTATTTTAAATATATTTAACTATTTAGTAAATTTGACTAAATTTTAGGGTAAAAATATAAATTAACACGATTAAATTGTACCAATTGAGGTTTTGTATTATAAATAAATACTAAATATAAAGAAAGCAAAATATCAATAATTTTTGTTTCAAGTGTTTATATAAACAATAACAATAATTAACAACAACAGTGCTATAAATTAGTCATACGCTAACTCCCTCTAAAATCACTTATTTTTTGTCAGCCCTTTCATTGAACATAATTAAGGTCTGTCTTTATTTTGGGGAAGTCAAAAATAAGTTAGCGTATGTATACTATAAATCGACTAATTACACACGATACATCATAATTTCTTTATTAATTTAGTCAAATATATGTGAATCAATTGAATAGACACTATATTTAGTTTATTAAACATTAAAACTAATGGATAATAAATTTTTGAATGTTTTCTAGACTTATTTTATAAAATTATAACTTACTTTAAGTAACTATTTGGACTGTTTTTCATAAATATTATTGTGCCTATTTGTGATTATATATTCATTTATAATTCACGGCTTTGTTTATATTAGTTTTAGTATAAAACAATTAATTAATATCATTATTTTGTAAATGTTATCTTAGCTAGTTTTTTATACAAAGTTTTCTTGTAAATTAAGAATAGATTCGCTTTCAATAGGAGGCTATTTCTTGAAGATAAATTTCCTTTAAAAAATTTGAATTAACATTATAAATATAAAATGTCCAACTTTAGCAAACATTTTAGTCGCAATTGCGTTTATGACACTTTTATATACTGTTTACAAAACGAATGTATTTCTTATACATTTCTATAATCTAGCACATATATTTGCAACATCTAATATGCTTACACCAAATGTACAAAAAATCTCTATAATCGCCGGTCGCACAGTTTCCCGTCTTTTTGATTTAGCCAAACAACAGACAAATGTATATATTTTGTATATCGACCACAAAATAACACTGTGTGCCATATCTCCAGACCTCCATTTTACTTCCAATCCCATCAAAATTACAAAATTTATAAATGTGATATAATCATTCAATGTATAATTTAGAATAAAACTCAAATAACTAATCAAAATGTTTTATCTCAAATATTTTCAGACCTGGCGCGGTTAAAGTTGGTAAAAAAGAGTTGCCCAAAATAAAATTTTTTGTAAAAAATAAACACTAAAACTGGATTAAAAACTGGACATGATCATTTTGTTGTATTTTTATATCGAATATTTATTTAAAAAATAGTTAAACTAATTTGTTAAAATATTAATGAAATTTTTGCGTTAATTTATAAACGTTATTATTAATATAAATAATAAAAAGGTATATGGGCGGCCAATATGTTTCTTCCAATGTAAATTTGCAATATCTCCCAAACGGGATGAGCTAGCTCAAATCTGTAAACGGTAAAATGATTTCCCATATATCAAATATTTTATCTGAAAAATTTATTCAAA